GCAATAAATTGGATATTGGGTCGTAGTAAAGCCACTGACTCTACGAATGGTGCTTCGGGTTCTTATAATCCTCCTACAGGCATCGCATATTTATATTTTATAACTTGCTCTGACTCACTAGCCTCGGGGTCCTGTCAGATTGAAAACAGTCTTCATACGTATACTTCTTTTGACTATCAAGTAGAAGTATGTGGACCAAATTATGACAGTATTATACCAGCACAACCATCTAATGTGCCAGTTTCTACCTTAATTCAAACAGGACTAATGACTACAATACCCAGTGGCATAACAAATGTACCTCCTACTGGCAGTTCGAATCGAACGCCTGGCCCTGCTACTGATAATGCTAATAGTCCTACTTCTAGTGGTTTAGGATCGGGAGGAACAGCCGCTATAGTAATACTTACATTGCTGTTTGTTTTTGCTCTTGGTGTAGGTGTGATTTTATGGTATAGATCAAGAAATTTGAAAGCAAGAAGGGACGGTGCTGAAGTGAATCAAACAGCATCAGCAGATCAATCAAGAGGGTTTAATCAGCCGCATCCAGAAGAAATAGTGATAGACACTTTTGATCATGGGGAAGGAAGTTCAAATCCCCCACCAACTTACAGTCAAGCAATGGGTAAAAAAGAATTAACAATTGAAGAAAAACCTCTACCATCAACTCCAACAAGTAATTAATAATTGCTACCTCCAAAGGAGCTAAAGCCTCTAGCATAATTCTTTATTATCAAGTAATCTTTAAAGGCTTTTATAATGAAAAATTATTCCAAAAAATTACCCAGAACGAAGATTTTGTGGAAGATAAGTTGGAAGAGTAGATTATTAGTTTAAATAAAAAAATATCAAGAATTAATTACACTAGAATTATATTGTGAAGTTTAATTTTAAGATGTTTTTATTTTTTTTTATTTTTTCATCAGTCCTGCTTTTATTTACTGTATAAGATTACGTAATATTACTTCTGACTGCAATAAAGCTCACTCGATCAAAAGACCCGCCTAAGCAACCTATTTTTTTAGTGCATGGTACAAAAATTAATTAGATTAAAAGAATTAATGAATGTTCAGACGACAGTCTTGAAGAATTGATAATCTGGAGGAATTTTTAAAGTTTAATAGTCTAACCACGCCTTCCTCTCCAAAATAATAATTATAATGATATTTTAGAATAAAAGTTTCAAAATTCTTTGATATGAACCATACTCTCGCATTGGGAAGATATGTGCTATACGAACCTGAAATTTTCAATATAAACAACTTTATTTTTTAAAAAATTATTTTTTTTAGAGACATGTTTATATTTTATAATAAACTCACGAAAAGTCTTTTTTATATTACATCTTACAAGAAAATACATAGTACCGTCATCTAAATCTATATTAAGATGTTTACCAGAGTTAAGAATTAATTTTACCAAAATTATGTTTACCGGAGTTACAAAATTCATTGTTAAATCAGAATTAAGATCCGTACACTATATAAAAATAATAAAAATTTGCTTTTATATTTCTATGTGATTGACATTAATTATCCAGAGCGTGGCGGAGGATATTATGGACTAGGTTTTGTGTGTTTATGTCCAATCAATATATTTTATTTTTAATTGCGCTCTAGATATCTAACATTTTCAGATACATAAGAAATAAATTCAGGTTGATCTATTTTGTATCGTGAAACAAATAGTGGTCACATCAGATCGAATCTGAGATCTGAACAATAAGTAAGTTAACGCATCTGATTGGTTAGGGTTAGGGTGATTAGCCAATGGGGTGGTTAGATTTCACGATCATCCGAATTTCAGCATCATCCGCGACATTTATTTTTATATTTAATTTTTTTATATTATTTATTTTTTTGATTAAAAGCTTCTTGTAAATTGCAAAAAAAAACGTTGCTACAAGAAAATAATTTTTATATCTTGATTATAAAAGTCATATGAATTGAAATTGAATGAATTATTTTCATTTTAGAACCAATAACTCTTATTTTAAATCATATTAATAATATTCTTTTTTCTTAATAATTTGACCATCTTTACTAATAATATGTTCTTGCTCTTGTCAGTTTTATAAATTAATTTGTTTGGGCACAGAGATACATTGTGTGGGCATGTCGGTGGACGCAGAGATAGTGTCATGTGATATTAATGTTAACATTAAGTCATAATTTTCCTGATAAATGTAGTTTGATTAGAGATATGAACCATTACTTAATAGGGTTTTTTAAAGTAGATATGGTACCTGACGTATTAAAATTTACTTAAATTCAAATGGGGTTGGAATCGGTTTAGAACGCTATTATACAGATTTTTTTAATCAACTAAACAGTTCCAATCCCTAAATCTAAACCAATTCCAATCCCTAAATTCAAATTAAAATAATAATAAGTTCTTAACGACTGTTGAACGAATAAGTGTTATATACACTGATTTACTTGAGGTAAGAGATACATTATGCTTCATTTTAAAATAGGTACAATAATTATCCTTATTATATTGTTTATACTGTATAAAAGAATGTTTGCTATATAACTGATAATCCAGAAATATTTTCATTTCTTGAAAAAATGTAATTCTAATATGCACAGAAAATCACAAGTATAATATTGTTTGCAGTAAACTAATTTAAAATACAAGATTATTATTTAATGTTATTAAATTATCATTGCCGTATGATCATATGGTTTCATGGTCCCATGGGACCGCAAAATCATATGATTATAAAATTGAATCAAAGATTCTTCGAACATGGGTGTTTCGTGACTAGCTTCAGTGTCGTCCAAAAAATTCTTTGGGAACTGGTCGTGTTTTTTGTTTCAGTTTATCATTAGACATTTCTTCGCTCCTTATTATCGTAAATATTTAAAATTGATTTGATCCTTTCTATTACAAAACTCTGTATGATTTTATTAGTTGGAAGCATTCTCATCTTTCATTCGTATTCGTTTGCTAGCATTATAATGATAAATATGCACCCCTAATATTATCCCTTAAACTGTCAATTTAACTATTTATTCTCTAAAAATTCCTTCGTGTATTTATTAGTTTATAAGCTTATTTATAGAAAACTTTTTTTGTATTAAATAAATGAATTGTTTCATCAATTGATTGGTGTGATCTTAAATAATACATAATTTGACGAGACAACGATAAGAGTTATCTCTGCCTTGAAATTGGCAGAGATTAAGTCATGTGATTATATTTATTTGTTTAAATTAAACTATTTAATTTTAATGCGGATAGATTATTTTAATAATATCTCTATTTTTCAGTTTCACTATGCTGCAATTTTCTTTTCTTCAATATGCCTGTCTCGACTTTCACTCTGTTCTTTCTTTTTTTTCCTACTTGCTTTTTGTCACTTGCATCGTCCAATTTACTTTTATTTTTTAATTTATTTTTTGATAATATTATTTTTTCGATTTTTGATAATTCTATGTCAACAAGTTTAACCCACTCATCGCAGGTACCTTCTATTTGATAGTCAATGACTCCATTCCATCCTTTAGTAACTACATCTGTAGCATTCACCAATATCACGTAACCTTTTCGATCATGAACCGCACTAGCAAATTCTTTTATAAGAGCCTTTACTCTAGGAATTCTTAAAGACGTTCCCATTATTACCATTTGTCGTTAAAATTAATACGTGATTTTCATGAACATTGATTGCTTATTAATTGTTGAGGTAAATCCAGTATTCCTGTTATTATTCTTAAAAGCAAAATGCAAAAATATTATTAATCTCAGTAATTTTGAAAAAACATCTACATACCTTAAATCTTCCAGTAGTGTATAGTTGGCCTTTATCAGACAAAGCCAGTACCACAAACGACTTTGACTATAACTACATCATCAAGACCTTGAGCAAATGCCGGCACGTTCTCGTCGGTTGCATTTGGATTTTTTTCACTTTTAGTAACTCTACCCAATGCACCTTTTTAAATGCATTCATACCTTCATCATTGCAACCCCAAGTGATAACCTATGAAGTAATAATGTTAATAATAAATATAAACATCAGTTAAATGTTTAGATTAAAATTTTTTTACCATTTCATTTAGTGTTAAAGCTGCCACGCGTAGACTTCCACAACTAATTTTCACAATATGAAAATCAGCTAGGCTTTCAATATGCCTAGGATATTTCATTTCTTCAACTGCCTTCCCTAAGCCAAGTTCACCACAATCGTTGCTGCTCATAACAAACAATTTTGTTCATTTTGAATTATTAGGTAGTTCAGATATTTCTAAATCGATCTCGAATTTTCTTTTTAGAGACATTTTTTTTAGAATCAATTTTTGAAAGATTTATAAACCACTATTGTAAAATAAACATGTTGCAATATTTGCAAATTGAACAAAAATTCTTTAATATATTTAGATCTTTTAATTACGAATAGGAAAGTGTATCTAATTTAATAACAAGTTTTACTTTCTATTTTAAGAAACCATGTGAAAAACCTTGTTTCTGAAT